GCTTCACTGAGTTACGCAAGCCCCTTCGCCACGACAAGGCAGTGATCCATGAAGGGAAGCAAACCATATATCACAGTACTAAGCCAAAACAAAACAAACCATGAATGGCACATGGCCAAGGACTTGTTCAGTTGAATGGATAATCTTGCTAGGATTTTGGATGAAATCATTACTTCCTTACTGAAAAATTAATAAACCAGAGATTGGTTGCATAACATTCCTCTTTAGTAAAGTGGGGCTTCTCTATCCATCTGCTCTCCAGTTTAAGAAACTAAGAAAATAAGAGGATTAGTCACACCTGTCAAACAGTTGCTATCCTCCTACTTGCTGCACTTCTAGAAAGGTTGCTTTTGTAAGTGATCCATCATTAATTGCACTTAACTAATCAAAGGGTTAAATAAAGATGTACATTTTCTTCAAATGTTTTAGCAATTGTGGCTCATTTCATCATTTGCTTTTGGGGATAAGAAAAGGCCTGTGAGTACAACAGTAGCTAGCTGGATCATTTCTCAAGAGGAAGACCCAGCTGGCTCATTCCCACTTTCAGGGGGATGTTGAATTTGAGCTTGTAAGTAAGCTAAGGCTCTGTGATGATGTTACCCAACCTGGTAATGAAATATCTGTAAGAAGAAGCAGCTCAGGGAACACCAGGAGCCCAACAAGCCCAAAATGTTTCGCCCATTTTGGGGAGGAGGAAGATGTGAGGTTTTAAGGCAGTGTTTTTCAAACTTGGCAACTTTGATGTATGGACTTCAAATCCCAGTTTTAAGGCCTTAAAAATGTATGCTTTGGTCCTCAGACCATCCTCAGCCCCCAGAATGAATAAAAGTAAAAATGTAGGCTCTCCCAACTCCTTAGGGCAGTGTTTCTCAACCTTGGCAACTTTAAGATATGTGGATTTCAACTCCCAGAATTCCCCAGCCAGCATATGCTGGCTTCTGACTTCCCAAAGACAGTTGCTGTATCTTCCAGCTCTTAATGTTCCAGCGATACCTTTATGCCAAAGGAAATCATGTTGGTGGGAGTGAAGCTGACAGAGGCCAAATGGCAGCCACACCAGCAGTTGGGGAATTATGCTTAAATATGTGGCAAGCAGCTAGCAACCTGGTTGGGAGGAAATTGAGGCTCCCATTAGTTTGATGACTGCTGCTATGGAGACTCAGGCTACTTTTGTGAATTTCAAGAGGAGGCTATAATTATTTGGAGCCTTTTGTTTGGTGGGTTACTGAGGTAGCCATATAAAAGAATAAAAGACTAAAACCATAATTAAAAACAGTAGAAAAAGTGTTTTGGGATAGGTCTTGTATGAAATTATGATAATATTAAAATCTATTTATTGAACAATCGGTATGTTTTGCATCTTTTTTAGAGTAGCATGCTCTAATTCTCTGCTAGCCACCTTCTATGAAAGGAGAAAACTACCTCCAAAATTTTAATTTGCCTTGCCTTGCCATAGAGACTTGATTTCTAATTTGTATTCCTTTTCCTTTTCTTAATGAAATTTGAGAAGCCTATGGAGTCCAGGATATTTCATTACATGTCTTTGCAATGTGCAGTAAAGAAATGCTGCTCTCTGCTGCTCAATATTTTTTTCTATTCTCACCTTTGTTCTTGAATGACTGAGGCTGATAGAGCAAGCAAAGTGCTAAGAGTAGCTCTTCTCAGCTTAGTGCAATAACAAAAGGGCTACTCTTCCAAGCAATTGCCCTCAGTTGCCTGAAATAGTAAGGATGGTTTTAATAAATGCAAAAGTTGCCCTCTAAGCTGCTGAAACTAGAAAGTTCCCTTTGAAAATCTTCCCAAACCTGATGAAAAAGTGCCTTTTGTAAACCTGCTGAAATTACCTGCTGAAAGCTTGAGTTAAACATAATTTTGAAACGCCGATTCCACTGCATTAAAGCAAGATTATTATTCCTCTCCCATCTTTTCCCTTTCTTCAGTAATCTGGAAACTTCTTGCTTCCAAGCAGATACTTAAGTATAGCCACTTGCAGTTGTGAGATGCGCATGACATTTTGAGCAGATCTTGCTTCTTGAAGACAGCCACTGTTTTCCAAAGAGTCCTTCTGCCCTCAAGCCTGGATAAGTCGTGTTTATTCACAAGCATGCTAACAAAGCAGTTTTTAAACAAATCTGAAAGAGGAGGAGGAATAGCTGAGTGTGTTAACTCAGCAATGCCAAGAGGGATATTAGTGTGTGTGTACTTTTTGTCACTGCAAGCTAACCTTAAGCTTTATGTTCTACTGCCTCTCGTAGGGGTTTATATGTTTTGGGGGTATTGTTTTTCTCCAGTACCTTCTTATCAATCCTTCACAGATAGCACAAAACCCAGTGGGAAACGAGTTGTTGGAGATGTAGCTTATACTTCAGCAAAGGAGAGAGCGGCTTACATCACCCCTGTGCCTGGCGGTGTTGGACCAATGACAGTTGCAATGCTGATGCAGGTGAGTCCCCCACTTTGGGGAAGAGTTTTTTTCTCCTCTCTGTTGAGTTTCTGTGGGCCAAGATGTCTAGCAGTGCTCTGTTTCATCCTGTGCAGCTTTAAATCCTCTAGTTTTCCAGGATACCTTTAGATCAGGGCCAGTCTGTCTCATAAGGTTCTACATGCAGTATAATTAGGAATAATAATAATAATGATCACCATCATCCCCCACCACCATAAGTCAATTGCAAAAGGAAGCTTTACTTGGAACAGCTTATATCCTGCGACGATACCTTTAATACCATCAAACAATATCTGCCTATCCCAGGTCTTTGGGAAGGACTCAATAGGTGGATAAAAATGCCAAATCCAGTCTAAACATCTGGCTGACTGTGTAACCAACCATAATATAATACTATTTTAAATTACTATACACGTAGTCCTCGGGTTACGATCACTTGTTCAGCAACTGTTCAAAGTTATGATGGCACTGAATGAGGGGGACTTATGACCGGTCCTTGGAGTTCTGGCTGCCAGTGTCCCCACAGTCATGTGATCACAATCCAGGAGCTTTGTGCCTGGCTGGCGATTACAAGGTCGCAGCAAGCTGTGATCACATGATCACAATTTCTAATGTTCCCTGCAGACTTCCCACAAGCAAAGTCAACAGGGAAGTTGGTAGGAAGTTGGAAGTCACTCCCACTCCCACTGCTTTTTCACCTACCTGCACTCCGTAGACCCTGCCTGTGGCACCTGCGCACCCACCCATGCTTCATAGTGCCTGCCCACAGCACCCACCCACTCCTCTGGAGCACCTACCACCCTGCTTGCCTGGAACTCCTGCCTCTTTCCGCTTAACAACCCGCATGGTCCTGGGGTTATGATGGCAACTGGGACTGCTGGGATTGCCATCACTAAGTGATGCAGTCACATGACATCACACTTTATGGTCTCATCACTTAGCAATGGAAATTCCAGTCCCAATTGCCATCGTCACCCAAGGACTACCTGTAATTGTATTATTACTGATTAATAATATACTTTCTGTTTACATATAGGTAGTCCTTGACTTACGACCATTCATTTAACAGCCATTTGAAGTTACAATGGTGCTGAAAAAAGTGACTTATGACTTGCAACCATTGCAGCGTCCCTATGGTCATGTGATCAAAATTCAGGCACTTGGCAACTGGCATGTATTTAGAATGGTTGCAGCATCCCAGGGTCACGTGATCACCATTTGCAACCTTCCCAGGGGGCTTCCAATAAGCGAAGTCAATGGGGGAAGCCAGATTCGTTTAACGATTGTGTGATTTGCTTAATGACCATGGCAAAAAAGTTAGTAAAATCGGGCACAACTCACAATCGCATCACTTAGCGACAGAAGTTCCAGTCTATATTGTGTCTGTAAGCTGAGAACTACCTGTACTCAGAGGAAACAGCAGAGAATGCAAACATTCCTCAACTACAACATCAATAGATATTTTTAAATATGAAATCTTGCAGTGATTTAATACTGTATGTTCTGCTTTTCTTAATAATTAAAAGTATCTCACTAAAAGCTTTAATAATTATCATCACTCCTCTTTTTCTTCCAAGGTATAAGGCAGGATGCAGAATATTCTCTCTGCTCATTTTATTTACAGACAAGCTTTTGAATAGATTGGGCTTCATGAGTATGTTTAACTGGCCTAAAGTTACTCCGTGACATTAAAGTAATAGATCTTTATTTTGTTTTCTTTTTTTAAAATACCAATTCAGAGTACAGTAGAAAGTGCTCAACGTTTTCTTGAGAAATACCAGCCTGGCAAGTGGAATATTCAGTACAGCCTACTCAGTCCTGTAACTCCTGTTCCAAGGTAAGTAAGAATTAGACTAGAAGGTCTATGAATGGAAGTCTAGGTTTGTAACGTACTGTGTCCCAGTAAGACAGAGAGCAGGAGAGGAGTTTTTGTAGCCTCCGCAAAGGGTTTCTGGTAGTATAGAGAAAATGGACCGAATGAAAAGTAAAACTGATGGCACGTACAAGTGGACCTGTAATAGTATGACAGCATGGAATATTTTCTTTTCATATGAAGTTTTCCTTATGCCTCCTTCAGAGCACTCTATTCCGTACCCATTTTCTTCTCTCTTCTCCAATAAACTCTCAGCCACTGGAAAGTTCTGGGAGTGTCAGCTTTGGTTTTGTTTGGTTTTGTTTTGTGGCCTCTTAAGTTTTTCCTAAGTGCATTTTTATACTGCCTTTTGGTTTTCAGTTGCTACTGCTGACTATATAGCTATTGACACTTGGTACCTAAGTTCATTATTGGAAGAAGAGTAGCTGTGGGCTGCAGAAAGCTGGAATTGTTTGTTGAAAGGTGTAGGAAAGCTAGCATATCCAGGAGTGGGATTTTGGGCCATTCTTCTTCCTGCTATGCTAGTTTCCAAACTTTGGGGAAGCTTTCACATAGAAGAACATTCAGAAAGCCTGTGCTTTCACAGTCTGAAGAGAAAGGCCAAATTTAGGTGTGGCTTATATTTTCCCAATATTGAATGAGGGATAAGAATACTGTCTTCTCCTTTCTCAATGTATCTGTTGGTTTTCAGTGACATTGAAGTTTCACGGTCATGTACTCCTAAGCCTGTTAGTGAGCTGGCCAGAGAAATTGGCTTGATTTCAGATGAGGTAGAGCTGTATGGTGAATGCAAAGCTAAAATTTCCCTGTCAACATTGAGGCGTCTCAAAGATCAACCAGATGGCAAATACATTGTAGTAACAGGGTAAGTTGCCTTAAGTTACTTCTGCACCCTGGCTAGTTTGCTGTTTTTGTTTTTGTTTTTGTTTTTGTATTATTATTATTATTATTATTATTATTATTATTATTATTATTATTATTATACCAGGTGGCTTTGGGAAAGAATAAGAGCCCCCCATGAAAAGTCTGTAAAAGCATTTATTACCATCTTTAGCATTCAAAGGAAAATACCCCAAATGGCTAACACAGTCTTAAAATACATCAGAGCATAGCATTAGCATATACCAAGGATGAAACTGGGCCCCAAAGAGGCAAATATAAAAAATATGATTCAATTTGTTAGCCCCAAAATACAATCTGAGGGTAAATTGGTGGAAGTTTTCCTGAAATGCTGGGGCCAGGAGACCGCCCCCCCATCTGTGTTTAATTAAGCATTCATAATCATGCCATTACAGAAAATGTCCTGTCCCTTTAAACTGAGCAAGCATGTTCAAATAGACTTTTTAATAACCAAGTTGCTCTCTCTTAACATATCAGTGCATATTTTAATTAAATGAACTGTGTACTTATCTGGTTTTTAAAACTATTGTTACTCATTTTTTTCTAGGATAACACCCACACCACTGGGAGAAGGGAAGAGTACTACAACAATAGGGCTGGTTCAAGCTTTGGGTGCACACCTTGGTCAGAATGCATTTGCCTGTGTTCGTCAGCCTTCTCAAGGGCCTACGTTTGGAATTAAAGGTACAGATTGCAACATTCCGTGCCAGAGGCAGAGCTGTAGCTTGCCAGGGGCACACAGTTTCATGCAGTGGGTCCAAGTTCAATCCATGGTATCTCCATTGAAGCAGCTAAGCAGGTGATAAGGAAAGAAAACCTTGACCTGCGTTTCTGGATTGCCATCGCTTTTCAGGCAGTATGAGCAAATAATCTCATCTAGCATGAGTTAGCCTGATGCTATATGTTCCTCTATTCTGGTTTGTATTCCAATTGGTGGAATGAAGAAAGATCAAGTTATTGTCCTGCTAAGAAGCGAACAGGAAAAGAATTCAGCCTAGTCTCTCTGATAGCCTGTGTTTCTACAGATCGGTAGATTTGGTTTGTTTACTTTTTTCCCCCAGGAAGCATTGCCCTGGTAATCTCCAGTCTTTGGTAAACTCCAAGGAAACAGTTTTGCTTATTTTTATTCTGCTGGTTGTGTAAACTTTGGAGGGGTGAGAGGGAAATACAGGTAGTCCTCGTTTAGTGACTGCCTCATTTAGCAACCATTAGCAAGTAGGATGCTGATGAAAAAGTAACTTTATGACCAGTCCTCGCATTTACGACCTTTGCAGGTCTGTAAAGCAAAGGAAAGCTGAAATAAAATCATAAGTACAGTCATAGTTTCACTTAGCAACCACTTTACTTAACAACTGAGTTGCTGGTTCCAATTGTAGTTGCTAAATGAGGACCACCTGTAAGAAGTTGGCTAGAATGCACAAGTAGAGGGTACCAGCAGAAACATCTGTTGAATTTTCATCATCATGATAATGCCATTATTTAGGTTTAAAGTTTTAGCTTGATGACATGAAGTAGTTTATGGACAAGTACATGATCTATTTTCATCACTAGTAATAGAATGCAAGAGGATAAGTCCTCACTTAATACCGATCCTTGTTAAGGATAATGCATCTGTTTTAAAATAAGTATGGTTTTTTCTTCTAATGAATAGATGTTAAACTATTTAATATTCACAATTTGATGCATAGTGTTACCTTTCATATTCCCCGTTATATAGGTGGTGCAGCTGGAGGTGGCTACTCTCAGGTTATTCCTATGGAAGAGGTAAACTTCAAATTTATTCCTATATAAATATTGGCTCTGGGTGTGTATTTCCATATATGTGTTCCAGAATGTCAAGACCTACTTGTTCAGAAATTTAGAGTGATGGGAGTTCTTTTCCCTGATATTACATGGAGAGGATCTGTGTAATCCGATCCTGATATATGATTCCCAATAGTCATAGACACTCAGCTTGGGGATGGATATATTTCCAGTCCTTGTCAGTTCTACATGCATTCAATCATAAATCTGTTCCATTATGTACATCTTTTTTGAACTAATTTTTGAACAGATGCATTTTTGAACCGATCACAACATTTAGAGAAATGTGCAAGCAGGATAATTGTTCCAGTCTGTGCATACGTTCAGGTATTGGAAATTTTTAGTTTGCTTAAAAATGTGGAACAAATTAAATTCTCCTCATATATCAGCCTTGCTGTAGATCAACACATTTGGGGCTCATTAGGGAAGTGCTTCTTATGCTAGATGTATTATAAATGATACTATTGAAGTCCTTTTTTGTAAACATTTGGACCACAAGTCAAAAAATTGCAGTAATCCTCCCTTCATAAACCACTAACATTCTGTAGCACTTGCCGCTTAAAGTGTAAGAACCCCTGGTGAAGTAAACTGGTCAGGCATATCAAAGAGAAAATAATTCTTTGTACACTGAAACACACTTAACAGAATTTGCTGCCACAAGGCACCTGGCTTAGAAAAGGTTCATAGTGGAATTAGGCAGATTTAGGGGGTGTCTGCAGGGTGTGGTCTAAAAAGTCAAGATGGTGGCCATCATGGTGTGATTGAAGTTCTGCCTGCTTTTATGTACACTGGGTGAAGCTTCACTCACACCATCATAATCATCATCTCAACTTCTTTGACCATATCTTGCAGACACCTCTGGGCAAATTTATGGAGAAGAGAGCTATCTGCCTCCTAGCCATGATAGGAAAAATAAACCTTAGCATGCCTCCTAGAAGTTTAGGAACAAAACAAATATATAACAAACTCTCTTCATGCCATATTTTGTGCCTAGCTAATCAAACGGGTGCTCTCTCTTCAGTAACAACTACTAGAATTTCCTGCCAGTCTCTGGAGAGGTTGGCATAAGTGAACACACCTCAGTCACTTAGAAGCAACTGAAGGTGGGATCTCATGCTTGGGTGGGGAGAAATTTATTTTTTTCCCTTCAGAGAGTTCTGCAAAAATCAACGTAGGAGAGGGCCTCTCTTTCTGAGAAGGCATTTGCCTGTCACATATCAGAGAATTACTTTTTGCCTTGCCTCTAGAAACAGCACTGAATCTTATAGCCTTAGTTTGGGGACTTAATTAGATTTAGTCAAGGGTTTGAAATAACTGTTGAGATATTTTCCACACTTTATTTTTCTCTGTAGTTTAATCTTCATCTCACTGGTGACATCCATGCTATTACTGCTGCCAATAACCTGGTAGCCGCTGCTATTGATGCCCGCATCTTCCATGAGGCTACACAGTCTGATCAGGTAATATGATGCAATTAATGGTTTTCCCTTCTGGTGTGTTTTGCGCATTGTCTGTTTAGCTGAGATTTATTGGGTGCCCATAGCTCCTAATTACACTCTTTGTTCTTTAAGGCACTCTATTCGCGGTTGGTTCCTTCAGTTGATGGTGTTAGGAATTTCTCTGATATCCAGATCCGGAGGCTACAGGTGAGCTTGCTTGTAATCCCACTTCTTAAACCATCCTCAAGGTTTCTTTTCTTAAACATGCTCACAAGCATAGAATTTGATATATAGAGCAAATGTCAGAGTCTGTCCCTTCACCTTCCAGTTAAATTTGATTGCTACCCACTTTCTTCAAAATGTTGGTAGGGAAGGGGAAGCACATTCAAATACTAAACTTCTGAGTCTACGCGGGTATTTTTCTCTGTGAGCCTTTTTAAGTCTGACATTACATTGCCACTAGTTGTATCAAAAGAGGTTTTGGAGTGCTGGACACTGCACAGATTCCAAAAACTCAGAATTTTAATAGATGATTTTCTCTTATAATATAAGCAAGTTAATATATAAAATGTAATAAATTAGAAAGGAATATGCATCATTTCCTGACACTTTTTGAATAATCACAGGAGCTCCCCCACCTCCTTTCCTCCAAAGGATACCAGAGCCTCTGTTCAAATAATTCAGAGTTTTAACTTTTTACTCACTTGGCACAGACAAATGTGGCCTAGTTTAATATGTTTCCTTGAAGCAGAACAGGGTCTTCCCAAAGCATGAAGCTAAGGCAAAGCTGTGCTAAACGATCATAACTCATGTCAGACAGTAACATTCATTTCATATAGAACCATGCTTTACAAGAATGACCCTATATTTTATCCGCCAAGTATTTTTGAGAGTTTTTTTTTCCATATTTACTCATATTATAATTGTATGGGAAGCTGTAATACTAGTTTTCCCACAGTGCTGCTGATTATTCAACATAATGTTCCTCCAGGTCCTTCTGAGAGATTGTTAATGATGGCTTCCCCAATCCATTTGCCCATCAGGAGCGGTCAAAGACTGATACCAGTACCCCACCTAGAATGATGGGCAATGACTCTTGAATATGGCATGATCTAAGCCAGATGTGATAGATGCATGGATGTAACCCTGACCATTTCTGAAGGTTTAGCCCAGGGACATGCATCTTTTTCGGAGCTAAAAAGCATGCCGGGCTTGGTTCTATAAAACATAATTGGCAGGGCAGGACAAAAAGTATAGCTGATTTAATTCAATTAACATTTCATTAAAATAAATATGGCTACTACAATTACTCTTCAGTCATCTGTTTAATTATTTTCCCTCTCTTTCACATTAAAAACTACAATTTGATAACAATTTTGGAGATTCTCTGTGGGCCACACCCAAGCCTTTTGGGTATTCAGGTGGTAATCCATTGCTGTAGCTTTTCTTCTTTTACCTTTGCACTGTGTTATTGACAGGTATAAGACCCTTGTAGTCATTAAAGTACTTTGGGGGCGGGTGGGTTTTTTCTGCCTATGTATTTTGCTGATGTTAAGGAAGCAAAATAAAAATTAAGAATTCTGCTCATTGATCCCTTGAAGGTAACCTTGGTTTCTTAAAAATGTTGCTGCTTTCAGTGAATAATTGCACTAGAGACAATTATTCAAGTTCTTATTTTAAGACTTCCAGATAGGTTTTGCATTTCAGCTGCATCCCTTTATGTTACTTCTAAAATAGGTTTTCTAATTACTTGGCTTAAAGGCTAGTTTCCTGTAACTTGTCGTTGTCTGTTTTTTCTCTCCCTCATTCCCTTCCTCCTCAGAGATTACATATTAAGAAAATGGACCCAGCAACTTTGACAAATGATGAAATAAACAAATTCGTGAGATTGGATATTGATCCAGATAGCATAACATGGCAACGAGGTATTGCAGCACAAATAACCTCTAGAAGAAGGGGAGGAAAGCTGTTGGGAAGAGAGACATTTCTGTGTATTGGGAGACAGGTTAAAGTCTAAGGAATAAATACGTGCTGAGTCTCTTCATCCTTAATTTTTAGGTTCCGTTTAGTTCTGGACAATTTAGTAACTAAGAGGCAGGCAGGCATTGTGCTCCCTCTGGAGAAAGCGGTTGCAAGTGGGCTGCCAGCAATGGGGGTCTCTTTCTCCAGGGTAGAATATTTCAGTCATTGTTTCTCACCCCATAAGAAATCTGTCAGCTGCCCTTCATCCATTTGGGGCAGGAAATTCTGCTTTTTATGCATTACTGGGAAGATCTGCATTTAACATAATGCAGGCAGAATTTGCTTTTGAAAGAAGCCTAAGGCTGTATTCCAGCATAGAAACATGTGTTTATGGTTTACTGCAGCAGGCTGCCTTTTTCCTTCATTTTGTTATCCTCCTCTTAGGAATTCAACAGGACATTGTGTTATCCATTGTTCTTTTGAGGAGCAGTTGCCTAAATTCTCACTTGGTATGAATTATGTGTTGGCCATTTGGATTTGGAGTCAAACTGATTCCTGATTTACCTTTAGGCCTTCTCCCATTTCCTTTTTGACAGCCATCTTGCTCAAGGCATATAGCTAAGGGGTTCTTGTTTCTTTTTTCCTGAAGACAAATGATGAAAAGAACTTAAGCTGCTGTTTCCTCTTTCAGCTGTTTTATTTGTACTTCTATATGTAATCTGTGCAGACAGCTTTCATTATTAAATAGATTAAAACATTTAATTTAAATAATAATTTAAACAGTTCTATGTAGAAGTTAACCATGAAGTGGCAAAGTTACAAGGCAGTAGTTTAGTCCTTATAGTGTCAATACATCCCCCCAAAAACTGCATGTCATTCTGCAGTTCAGTGAAACTTTTTCCATTGTAGCCTATTAATCAGTATCGTGCTGGGAATAGATTATGGTAAATTATGGTTCTTTCCACACTTGCTCTCAATCTCATGTTAGCTTACTTTTTCCCATATTTTCAAGGGGAATTTAATTGCATATAATTTCCTAATAAATGAGATGTGAAATGTAGTCTCAAAAGTCTGCTCTTGGTATATAAATGGAATTTTTGTTTTATCCTATGACTAGTATTCCATAGAATTTATATATATATATATATTTATATTTATATTTATATTTCTTGGTATCAAAATTGAGCAAAAGTCGCAGTGTATTTCTTCCTTCTTGGGGAATTCCTGCTGTTGAATAAGATGATCAGTGCAGATGGAAGAGAGCAAACTACAGAGAGACTATTGACCAGTCAGTTTATCTTTCAGGCATCTTTCAATGCTACTGAAAATATAGATCAGCCTTCTCCAATCATGTACCTTTTGTCTGTGCTGAACTTCAGCTTTCATCACTCCCAGATATTAGGGGATGATGGCATTTAAAGTCCAGCACACTTGGAAGGGCATAAGCTGGGGAAGACTCCCTTATATTATGCAAATCCTGTTTCCTATCACCTTCTTGTGAGATTTTCCTGTATGTCTAGATGACTAGAAATAACATTCTATAAAACCACATGGACATTTAAAATATGAGCACCAGTGTGGTTTATTTCTCAAAGCATTGGTCTAGGATTGGGAGATCTAGGTTTGAGTCTACCCTCAGCCATGAAAGTTCACTGAGTGACTCTCCCTTAGCCCAACCAACTTACAGCTTGCTGTTTTGGGGCTAAAATGAAGGGAGATCTCCATGGAAGTCACCGTGAACTCTTGGAGAAAAAGCCAGGCATACTTCTAATAAAGAAGTAAATTTTAAAAAATACTCCTGTGGATTGCCACCTTAGCAATTTATTTCTCACAGCCCTTCTTCTAATGACTTCTCTTATGTTTGTGAGATAACCTTGATGGCATTAATAGTTTAAAAGGTGCATGTATAAAAAGTTGAATAGTCATTGCTAAGTTCCCCATGTTTCTCCATTTGTCTTCTTACCTTCTCTTATGTAGTATTGGACACAAATGACAGGTTTCTGCGAACCATCACAATTGGCCAGTCTTCATCTGAGAAGGGATACACACGTGCAGTAAGTGTCTTTTCTCTTTCACTCAGATTTTTTTAGAATAGCAGGCATTTTTATCTCTTGGCAACTGAGGGCTGATCTTGAGCTAAGGGTGTGTGCATGTTTCTCTGTTTTCCAGATGTAGCTATCCCCATATTGCCTTCATTTTGAGGGCTGCTTCTGTCAATGGTAGTGATTGTGTGAAGAAGCTTGTCAGATATGAGATTTTCTCCTTAGTTTTTGCCCTCTTTCACATACAGAACAACACCCTCCTTAGAATGCCCTTTCCTGTCATTGCTCATAAAGCTGCCATCCATCACCTGGTGCTGTTCACATGATCAATGGCTGTGCTAACTGGGAGATCTGGGAGGTGTAGTTCTGAACAGCTAGGCAGCACCAAATCTGGAGATGGCTACTACTGATGTTTAGAAATGATTGTTTCTAGATTATTATGATTCCTTAATCATATGTTTTATGTCCTCCCTATGTCTTTTTAAATCAAATACTTCGGCTGTGTTCAGTTAAGGCTATTTTTGATCCTGTTTGTTTTTTTCCTCCCCCGCAGGCCCAGTTTGACATTACAGTAGCTAGTGAGATCATGGCAGTCTTAGCACTCACAGACAGCCTGGAGGATATGAGACAACGCCTGGGCAAAATGGTGGTTGCCTCCAGCAAGAAAGGTGTTCCAGTCACCACAGAAGATCTGGTACATTCAACATGATTCTGTTTGGAAGAAAATGCAACTTGATTGAAGAAGACACAATATTCATGTAGTTATGTTTGTAGGATGTAACTCATTTCATTGACACCGAAAACTGAGTATAGAGTTCAAAACCCAAATTTGCATAGCCTGACTCTCTGGATAATTTGTGAGCCACCCAGAGTTTGGTTCAAGATGGGCGGCTGTAGAAATGTTTGACGTGACGTGACGTGACGTGACATGACATAAGGCATATTTTTTCCTATCTTATTTCTGCTCCAAGACTGCCATTGTTGGTGAAAACTAGATAGCTTCCTTCTAGAAGAAGTGCCTTGTTATGGTAGTCCCTCTGTTGGTGATAAGATTGCTGTGCCAAGAACTACTTCACACAAAAGAAAAGGGTATTACTAGCAAGAAAACGTAAAGAGCTTCTAACATAGTTCTGTTGAGCATAATTTGTAGTACAGTGCTGTTGTGGAGTGCCTGGTGTAGCAATGTTACATTGAATGTAAAATGCTGCATCTAAGACTGGAATTGGTGCTGGTGGGCTTTGCCAAGGTTTGGCAGCTGCATGAAAACAAGCATCAAGTGGGTGAATACCTTAAAAAGAGAAAGAAGTTGATTCTAGCAGGCAACTTCTATAGAACATGGAAAAGGGATCCTCTGAGCTCTTGTTTCCCTACCTGTGTCGCTAGCTGTGTTGGTCAATGGCTAGTAGGGATGATCAACATTTCTGAAAAATGTAAGCTGGGAAAGACCAGTGAAGGTACTTTTTTAGAAAAACTCTTTCAAACGCTTTTTATTCCATGCATCTAACAACTGAGCTAGTTAAGATGTTCACAGTTTTAAATATATATTGTGTTCTTTTTGAGAGAATTGATCTCTGGGGAAGCTTTCTAGGCTGTATTGTCGAAGGCTTTCACGGCCGGCATACAATGGCTGGTGTGGGTCTTCCGGGCTGTGTGGCCGTG